ATCTGCTATCACTGTAAACTCCAGAGTTTTCCTGAGCTTGAAGTGAGTATCTTTTCCAGGTGTTTTCAGGTTTAGTTCTTTCATGAAAATCGATGTACTACTCCTGGCTACATCAAAGATCTCTCATTGACCGTGGGTTGTGAGCCAGCAGACACTGTCCATCAGCTGATAGGCATTAACTTGTTACTTTGCCATCACTTACTTGATGTTTGAGCGCCTGCTTTCCTAGAAAGGTTTTTTCACATTGAAACCAAGACTTTAAAATACCAAAATAATCGATTTCAGGTTTTACATCAACACTTCAGCACATTTGGTGGGTGTTTCTCAGGGTTAATGCTAAGGAGATAGTATTAAACAAACAGATGATTTTGTGTTAGTCAGTGTACAAATGTAATTAAGACAGGCTTAGTGCATAATTTCATGAATCTTTAGTAATTTACTGTTACTTATCTGTTTTGTGTAACGTATGCGTAAGGGGAAAACAATATTGAAAATGTTTTTATGAAGTGGTATGAGACGTATGATGTGTATTACCAAATGCTAGTATTGTGTAGGACAACAGAAGCTTCATTTTTGTCTTTTCCTTTATCAAAGGAGCAGAAACACTTCCATAAGAAGCATTACCTGTTTTATGTTTTTTCCCTGCATTTTGCTAAAAAGAAAGCAGAAAAAGATGCTACTACCTGACCATTTTTAAAACTTGTATGTGTGTTCTTTTTGAACATGCAAACATATCTTATTATAGTTACGTATGCTAATTGTTAATACTGTGCTAGTGTTTCATTTAGAACTAAAGAAATGCAAAAATGACTCTACAACTTCAAATTTGCTTTTAATAAAGACAGACATTCTTCAGGTATGTAAAAATAGTATGAAAATAAGTAAAAAGGAAGGGAATACTTCTGGGAAGTGTTTTTGTATAGATAATTGCTTTCTGTGATGGCAAATAAAGCATCATCTGTACCTCATTTATCACTAATATTAAGGGAAGGGAGATTTATTCACTGAAGACTATGTAGCCACTGCAATTTTTAAAGTCTTAACTCATAGCTGCTTCCTAGCAGTTTATTTAAAATATAAAAATACCCACCTTGTTGTCACAGAGGTGGACATGTCGGATGCAGTCTGAATGTTTAATCACTTCACTGTCTTTAGTGCAGCTCTAATGTAATCCTACTTCCCTTCTTTACAAAAGCAAACTTTATCTTAGATCTAATTTTCTAGAAAGAAAATTTATTTCTTTTTGTATTGGTTATAAAATAAAGTTGAACACCAGGGAAAAGGCGTGTAAATAAGGAAAAATGAGTGTATGCCAGCTGCTCCCTTTCATTTCTGATAAGATTTCTAGAATTGATGTTGTTTTCTCTTTATGATGCAAGAATGTTAACATCTTGACCAGGAACCCCTTTTCTCTCTAAGACATCTGAGCTTTCTGCAAATACTTGAAACAGTCGAAACTAATGGACTGATCTCTGAACATTCACTGGCCTCTCGTGGAGATGGGTAAGGATAGGCTTCCCTTTCTTGTAATGGAATCTAGATCACAGTAAGGACCTCATCTTAGCCTCTCTTCTGCATCGAATCTGTAGCTGAAATGACTCCTGCTCTCTGGAAATAAATTGGAGCGTGTCCTATTTTAAGGCTATCCTTAAACACACCGTACAGACAGTAACAGAAGATAATGTGGCACAGATACTCTTGTGGATTTCAGGCTTCCTTTTCCTTAATTGCCGTCTTCTCTTGAGCATAGACAGATAAAGCCAACCTCGTTTAAGAGGGATGTCACACCTTCTGGGATGACGAAACTCATGCCTTGCATCAGAAGCCGTTAAGGAGTCTGTTCCATTCTTTCTTGTGTTAATCAACATCTCCGTAAACTAAGGCCAGAGCATGAGCTTGAGTAATATCACAGAGTTATCTCTGCTGCTGATTGCTAGTGCGGCCCACGGCATGGTTTTGGCTGATGCCTGTGAGCACCCCCTGAGTCACAGCCCAGGGCATGGGTAAGGCAGCACTAGGGTCTGCACACAGCAGTCATACAGGTGAGGCCATAAGGATTGAGCTGCTTGCACATGAGCATGCCACACCGCTCTCCAGGCCAGGGAATGGTCCTGGCATGTTTTATTTACGTCTGTGCTCACAGCCACGCAAGTCACTCCACAGCATCGGAAATGGATTAGGAGAAATTTCTGAAAGAAGATGTCACCTGAGTGGAACCATTTATTTCACTGATTGCTCTAGTCCCTTCAGGAGCCCTTCTGACAACAGCAGAGCTGGCTAAAACTGATGTTCTCTGTTGGGCGTTAGTCCATGTTCTCCATTAGATTCAACCACCAGCAGTCCATCTGCATTGCTACTGGAAACCACTACAACCTATAGAAATTATAGCTTTTCAATGCGTCATCCGTCCTTGTGGTGTTAGGAAAAGTACTGCCTGTGATAATAACTGAGCTGAAAAACTTCTATCCTTGGCACAATGTTTGGAAAATTATCTCGTATAGATTAAAAGCCCCACAGTGAACAGAAAGCCCTCACTTCTGTACTAGATACAGGAGTAATTTTACTATCTTTATAATAAAAAACTTAGTGTGACCAGTACAAAATTTTTCATTTAAACGGATCCCATGAGTGTGATGTATATGGTGTATGTGTGTCAGGAACGCAAGCGTTTATTTCACACAGACATATGATTGTATTAGGTTTCTAAATTAGTTACAGCACTGTCGGCAGAAGACATAAGCTTTGTAATAAGATCTGTGCGCAGAGTGCAACTGTTATAAAAATCGAGGGGTCTGTTTCAAAATAAAGCTAAGTGGAGAAGGTCATATGAGCTTTCCTTTGCAGAAGTGTAGTGTTCTCATACCAGTGCAGACCAGTATATGAGCTGCCATTTCACACCCGGTTACGTGCTGTGCCTCATGGCAGCGCGTGTGGTCCAGCTTCCTCCGGAGCGCCTGCCAGGCTCTGGCTGTGCAGTTCAGGTGTGATCAAATCCCTTTGTCTTGCACACAGGAAAACTCTGTGCTTGTTTTGCCAAACCTTGCGGTTGTTAGAGTTTTGGCAGGTTAGGAGTTGTGCTCTTCATAGCACGACAGACCTGGGCACAAGGGGGGTGCGAGATCATCTCAGCACCTGGTTTTTGTCCTTTTGTCCTGAGGCATTGAGCTTGTCTCTTTGACAGGGATTGATAAGTATGGTATATAGCAAAAGTTCACGGAGGGTTGTGTTTGGACTCAAGGCCTGATCTGTGGTAGAGCACACACCACCTTGCATTTGTACATTGCGGATACTGTCCCCTTCTGTACAGCGCTCTGCCAGCAGGGTACAAACGTGGGGGCTGACCCACAGAAGGGCGAGAGAGTTCTTCGTCCAGTGTCACTTACCCTGTCACTAACAGCAGCGCTAGGATGAGAAACTTATGTTTTTGAGTTCAAGACGTGCTTGCTGGGACTGTGGTCCCCACAGAGAGACCCCTGAGCTGCCAGGTGATGGGAGTCTCAGTGTTTTCAGTTACAAGTTTGATCATGTGTCTATACGTGGCTCAGAAAAAATTACCTCTCTTCATCAGTTGGGCATTGAGTGTTTGTCTGTGTGATGTTTGATGGTAAATCTGTGGGAGGGCACCCTGGGCCTTGGGAAGAGTCACCCTTCTGCTACAACTCCCACATTCTGTCCCATGTGTAAGGGCAAGTGTAGTTAGTGCTGCCAGGCAAGGTGTCTCGGCTTTCAACTTCACACCTCCCCACGTGCACACGTCACTAAAGTTGATGGTGGGCCACCTCTAGGTTTCTTTAAAGGTACCTTTCGTAAATACGGCTTTGGATCTCTGCATCCTCCAAGCATGGGTGCCAGGACTAGCCACAGGGTGGGCCAAAACACAGACCTACCCCTGAACATTGGCACCAGCGGGACCTTGAGTCTCCCTTCTGGCCGGGCAGCGTATGGCCGGGCAGCGTCAGCCGCCAGTGGCAGAGCACGCACTGTCCTCCCATACGCTCACATTTTGTTTCACAGAGAAACACGAAGAGGAAGTCTTAATATGTGAGCAGAACAGCAAAGAAAGGGTATTTCCTCCAGAAATAAGAAACTTAAACCTTGCCATCTCCTCAGTGCATCCTCTTCAACAATGAAAGCAGTGCTAAAACCTTTCAGGGTAAAATATTAGAAAACCAGCATCTCTGCATAGACATTTCATGGGCAGGATTGCAGGATTTTTCCCAGTGCAGGAAAACTTAAAAAAAAAACACCACAAAACCCTCTTTTTTTCTTCCATTTAATAGGTTTAGCTCTGTTCCTTTATATGAAGCTTCTAGATTTTATAGCATTTCACTAGGTCTCTTGCTGCAGCTTTTGAACCTTAAATTAAATTGGGATTCATTACTGTATCTACAAGAGGGGAAGTGGACAGAATGCAATACAGGTGTGCTGAAGACAGATCAGAATAAGGACCTAGAGCACAAATACATACCAGAACAACTGGGTTTTTTCTAGCTGATGTGACTCATCTTCACATAATGGGAAATTTTAGCTCTCGAGAGTTTGTGAGCAATAGCGGTATTTACAGTGAGTTTTTGTATGCTGAAGTTACACATTTTCACAGCAACATATAATTTTGGAAGTTATGATAGTCCGTAAGTCATAAGGCACATTTCCTCCTACTTACTAGATAACACAGGTAATTGCCTTTAATTTTTTTTCCTAAAGATTGTTTTAATTTTAAAATCAGCAGCCATTGGTAAATAAGCAGGACTGCCTTGTCTTCCTTTCACAAGCAAATTTTTTTAAGCCTTTTATACAGATTTTGGTTGTTGGGACAGCTTTACTCACTTGGAGGTGCATTTATGTTCATATGAACAATAGCAGTATTCTGAGTATCTTCAGTCTGAAAATAATTAAAGAGAGGTTTTTGTTGTTTTGGTTTTTTTTAATGTCAGCGATTTCTTAGATAGAGAACAACTACCTGAATCCTAATTTTTGGTTTGGCACTTTTTTCCCTTTAGGTTTTATGGCAGGCATACAGAGGAACCCCCAAATGTCACAGTATGGACCTCAGCAAACTGGACCTTCCATGTCACCACACCCCTCACCTGGAGGCCAAGTGCATCCTGGAATCGGTAGCTTTCAGCAGAGTAATTCAAGTGGTACTTATGGGCCTCACATGAGCCAGTACGGACCACAAGGTAAAAAGTTTGCTGATAATATATATGATAATTTTAATTTTTTTTGTTTATTTATTTGTACAATATGTATGTGTTTTGTAGGTAGGTAGGTATGTGATTCCTTAAAAACAAGAAACACACACACAAGACCCTCCCTAAAAAAAGCCTAAGCAAACAAAACTGTCATCCAGAGGTGGAGCTGCACCTTGTGAAAGAAGCTGCTTCTGTTATTAGCACCTTCTTCTGTATAAAAATAGTGACCTTAACCTGGAGAAGGAAATGATGAATCTGTTGCATTGCCAGAGCCATTGTTTAGGAACCCGAGCATGTCATCTCTGCGATGAGGCCGCGTTTCACCAAGCATGGAATAAGGGTCACAACACCAATCCCAAAATAGGACTTCTTTTCTTAGATGAAATCCCAAGGCCAATCTGAAATTGCATGGCGACGGTGAGGGTTAAAGTCTTCTAACGAGCATAATAATACAGCGGCTACTGTGGGAATATAATATTGAGCTCTAGCACATACGGTTTGTGAATCTTAACTAACCCTTCAGACTGAGAGAGACAGTTCCTTTTATTTTGCTTGTTTGACAGAATCGTTGGAGGACTAAAACAAAAATAGAATACACAATTTCTGCCCCTGGACAACCTTGAACTTGGCTATTGTTTTGCCTTTAATGGATAACCTTCATAAAGTATGCATCTGTTGAGGGGTTTAATGAAGTTGAAGTCAAGCCACAGAATATGTAAGGGGCAGCGTTTTCTTTAGTGGTACATAAAGAAGCTTTTCTATTTCAGCACTTCCTACTATTGCTTTCTAACTTAAATCCTCAAAAAGAACTGGAGCCAGCGATGGGAAATTCTGTAAGGGCTCGATGGCTTGCCTGTGCTATCAGGGATGGTTATTTTAGTCTCCAGAGTTTCTGAGAACTATTCTGATGTTTGTTTGCAGGGAGCCTTGCTGTCCTGCACAATGTTCCTTTCTGTTTCGTCTCCGGCTAGCGTTTGCTAGAGCACAAGGCTACAAGCCAAGATTTCCCAGTTTCTAATTTTGGCTCTGCCTTTTACACCCATCTTTCACCGTAGGCAAGTAGATTCATTTCTCTGCTTCGCTTTCCTTAACTGTAAAATGGGGCTAGTAATGCCTCGTAGCCATGTGTGAAGATTAATTACCTAACTCGACTGGTGCTTCCCTTTTATTTGGAAAGCGTTTTGTGGCCATAAAGTGCTGTCCAAGTGCTTATTTTTATCTGCACTGTGAGCAACTAGCTTAACTGGTAAAAATCCAGTGGATTTATGATGTGCTATCCTGACTTCCAGCTGTACTGCTGCTGCTGAGATTCCGAACCATGGGAATAGTGGGTGTCAAGTGCAGTAAAACATTAGACATCCACACTGATTGAATGGAAAGGTTTTTGTACTAAATCAATGCGTTTAAGTAACACACCGAATACTACTTTCTTTTTTGCTCGAGTTCAGCAGTTCTTTTCCTCCCTCTGTGGATGAAAGTGCCTATGTAATGATTTTATGGGTCGCGGTCAGGAAGGGACGGCTATTAAAAAGTGAACTTGAGGGGCAGGAAGAAAATGAGCATCATTGTCATTAAAAGGCAGTTTCAGAAGGGTCTGGTGAATAGTGCGGTGCATGAAAGGCGTATTCTTCTGCCAGCTCTTGGAGAGTACCAGTGATCCTGTGCACTGGTCATCATAAAATTAGGGCCCTGCAGACTTCCAGCTCTACAGGTAACAAATGGAGCAGAAGAATACGATGTTGTCACCAGGCTAATGTGGCTATTAATAAAATCCAGGGATGAAGGTGGTGGCATTTCAAAGTCATGTATTTACCTGCATTTAAGTTCTTAATAGCATTTTTCATTTTTAATGGAAGTAATCTGTAATTACAACTCTTAACATACCCTCTTACAGAGCACAGATATATACCAGCAGTGATGAACATATAATAATGTTAACCCCATTTGCCTTTTATTTCCAAAATAACAAATATATTAAAAATTGCCTCGGGTTGCAGCCAGGTTGCTAAACTATTAAACTAAAATAATTCTTAAAGATTCTATTTGTTTTACATATTTTGTTCACATAGGTGTCCCTCCAGAAAATTGTTAAGCATAGGCTGAGTTTGACAGGACTACTTGTATTTTTCTGTACACGTCAAAGCGTTCCGTGACACTAAGCTGTTAGTTCAAATGCCACATTTCTCCATATGCTGTCCTGAAAACAGCTGCTCAAGCCTACTGTCCTTTCTCTGCAGTGGAATTGCTCACCGTAGTAAAGACTACACAAGTCCTTTTGCGTTGGAGGAATTAGCTCCAAGTTCATGAGAGCAGAATGGTCCATTTTGTGCATAAGGTTGATTTATTTGGTTTTTGTTTGTTTACGTGACACTTAGATCTATAATAAGAATAGAATACATTTTCCCAGGAAGCAGTTCTGTATTGGGGACCTAGTCCAACCCCGTGAAACTGTTTCCTACAAAAATGAAAAATGGCTTTGGCTCCACACTTCCCTGTGTCTGTGACACAACGTGGGAGCATGTGATACAGGACATTAGTTTTAATTTTGTATTAAATCCTTGCATTTTCCTGTCCTCAAGAAAAAAAAAACAACGAAAAACAAACCACAGAGCAAGAGTGGAAGTTGTTACTGAAAGGAACAGTCTCTTTGGTTTATATTTGGACAACATCTTGCTCGGGGGCTGATGAAGCTCTGGTCTATGACCCGGCAATCAAACTGCTGCCGCAGCAAAATGTCCCTTAAATGCACTCTGGAGAGCAGTCGAATGCTGTAGTCAGTTGGGTCTTTTAAGACAGGGGCAGAGAAAAATTCCCTGTGGATCAGTAAAACATGTCAGAAATGCATCCTGTCTCCCCAACTTCTCCTACTCAATTCAGCAGTAAAACTGTTCTGATTGGGTATAACAAAGAGACAAACCAGTACCAAATATATTTGAACTGCAACCCCAAAACTTCACAGTGGGTTAAACCCTATTTTGTTCATGATAATGTGAACTGAGTATTTGTGCTTTGTAACCTTTAACGTTGGACTCATTTCATAAAAGCACTTTGCTCTAGCTCCCATTGATTTTAATGCCGGATGTTAATTAAAGTGGTAGTAGCATCTTAAGGATGAGATGCCTTAAGCATCTCAGGAGTCTGGATCTCCAAAGCCAGACCCACATAAACAACAGCCGGCAGAGTTAAGACTTAAGCATCAGCTGTATCTACTGGAATCCTCTAGGTAAAATAGTTTCAAAGGAATTCAGAACAAAATGTTTAAATTGTCTGTAGGATAAAAGTTTGATGGATAAGCGCAGGCATAAAAAACTTCTAAAATTATTCTAAGATACTATTTTTAGTACTGTGAATCTGACCTATGTCTCTAAAGCAGAGAGCAAAACTAAGAGGTAGTTCTCAAGTGTCTCCCTTTTCAGCTTGCCTAGAAATGGCAACATATCACAGCACTTTGTTCAGCAAACCTGGACAAAGTGGACCAGAGTTTCAGTAGCAAGTATAAACATCTGTCTTTGGCAGGTTTTTAGTAGGCTTTATATTTTATCTTCATACGCCTTTTTTTTTTCTTCCTGATTACAGTTACTGCTTTGATTTTTCTCATGCATTTGAGATGCTGTCTCTCTGGGTACACTTCTACTCTGCCAAGGGGGAGTTGGAATCAAAAATCCCTCGGATATGGAGGGGAGGAGTTGTTCAGTAGCATTGTACAGCCGCCGTTGCCAGACTTGTACCCACTTGAAAAGTGTGGGCTCTTGGACTTGGCTGCCTGACACGTCCAGCTGATGTGGGCTGGCCTAGCATCTGCTGCATTCATTGTGTTTAATGCTGCATCCATCTGTTTTCTGTCAAAGCCACTGCCAACAAATTACTAATCTATTAGAGAAACATGGAAATAAGATTGCACTCCTCATTCCTGGCAATTCCGCTTGTATTTTGTTTGGCTTTTATTTTGCCTTTTTTTTTTTGCCTTTTTTTTTTGTGATCTGGGAAAGGTGTAAGAATAGCTAGTACTTGAGGTATTGAGGAAATGCTTAGGGAAAAAAGAAATTGGCAAAAACATTGAAACTTGTTTTCCTTACTGAAAGATACCACTTCCCTGTGCTCTTGGACGTGTATCCCTGGAGATGAATGATTAGGAGCTATTTTAACGGAGCCACATATTTTTATGGAGAAGATTCCACTGCTTTTTCTGTGTTGTGCTTAGGCTGGAGAAGCCAAAGCACGAAAGAAGAGATTTTTTGTCCCAATTGAAAATAGCATCAAAACAGCAATAGGATTTAGCATTGGTGCTTGCTCCTCCAACCATGCTGCTGAACTGTACTTCATAGACCCTAACTGACAAAACAAATCAGCATTATTTAAATTGGACTGACAGTAGCTCCCAGTGATTATGGATATCGGGTCTGCTAGTCTAGGGAGGGAATTTGGTTCAGTTTGGGAAGCAGGGTTGCTAACAGAATGTACATAAAATGTGCTAACTGGCTGTGCGTAATCTTTGAGTACACTTATACACCATCTTGCTGCATTACATTTTTCTTGCACAAAGCAGCTGGAAAACCAGAGCGACGTCCAGGCTGTGTGTTACGCCTGTAACCCTGAGCAGAGCAGTATGAAACCAGTGAACCCTTCAGCCTGTGGTCACATGTGTTGGATCAGAAGCGAGGCCTGAGCAGGTCTCAGCAACCAAAACTGTGGCTGGGGGCAATGGCTCACTGAACAGAAAATAGTCAGCTGCCAGCAGCCAAGCCTGGAGGAGGAGAAGTGACAGCGCAGTCTAAGGTCAGCGTAAAGCTGAATCCGGAGCCTTTCATCTCTGTTGAACTATGTATTGGGGATCCTTCTGCGAAGACCCCAGGGCAGGAACTCATTTTCTAAAACAGAAGAGAATTGTTCCTCTGTTTCCTTGGGCAGTATAGGTCTCACGCATTCTTGCTGAGGAGAACTTGAAGCAGAGTGAGTCAGTTACCAGGTGGGGAGGACTATCCAAAGCACAGCAGCAGAAGCATGTTAATTAATTATATGTGCATTCAGATGATGGATGAATGTATTTATTTTAAATATAAACAAGAGTTGCACGCCACCAACTCTTCTGACTGGTAGCTGGGGCCTGAGGAGAGACGTGGCTGATCTCCACGTTCAGAGGAAGAGTCCAGGGGCTGCTGCCTTTGAACAGGCGTGGGAATCTCTGAGAGGAGTCGGGAAACTCTGCTCTGCGGCATCCCACAGGGAGGGAACGGATCGTGTTTCCCCTAATCTGGATGAGATGGAAATACAGACAAGTCAAAACTGATGACTGAAGTAGTGTAATGTGATCCGTTTCCTAAAATACTTTTCTATCATATCTTTACCTTTTTTTTTTTTTCTCTCTTTCTCATGCTGCTTGGGTTGGTTTCTATAACACTGAATGATGCTGTACACTCACTTTTTCTTGAGCTTTTAACATGATAGGAAAATCAACACTCAGTTGAGTTAAGCTGCTGCAAGTGGAGCAGTTTACTCCAATGACAGCATAGATTGGGATCTGCCGTGTTTTCATGCCATCCTTCATAAAGCACCTGTTTATATTAGCGTCTTTGTACTATTGCTGATTACTCTTGTAATACTGGTTTTCCCAGAGGAGGCCTTCTGTAAGCTGCCACCCATTCTGCTGGCATAGCCAAACTTTGGATTTACCAGGAAGGCAGAGTAGGAGGGAGCAGGAGTGTTTCTCAGCATCATGCAGCCATCCTTACCGATCTGTGCCAAAGCATCTCTGACAGAAATGGGCAGAACTGTTAGGAGCAAGAAGCTAGTGAGAATAGCCCATTGCCAAAATTGCAGAAAGATGAAGAATGAGAACACAAAATTGCAAAAATAAGATTCTCCCTTGAGCTTATGTAACGGGTTTCTTACATGCCATGTATCTCTTTACTGCATAAAGCGATTTTGTGCTGTGTTGTTAACCCTCTGGAGGCTGTGCTTTTCTATATTTACTGTTATTCTGTGTCATATATTAGGCAGAAAATGTTTGTGGGTACATGAAAACCATGTTCATAAGATCATTTGGGTTGGAAGGGTTCTCAGGAATTGTTCTTGGCTGACCTTGTATTCAAATCGGGGTCAGATATAAGATCAGAGCAGGTTACTCATGGCTTTATCCAAAAACCTCTGAGGAGGGAGTTTGCACAACCTCCCTGGGCAGTTTGTTCCACTGTTTGTTTGTCCTCATGGTAAAGAAGTTCTGACTTCAAGGCCAGTGTGGTTCACTTTAGTTCACATGTGTAAGTTCCGCAGCTGCTGACTTCCTGTATAGAAACATTTGCACCAAAGTTTAATGTTTCTCTCTGTGCTTTTTTATCACCTTATTCAGGAAACTACTCCAGACCACCGACATACAGCGGCGTGCCCAACACAAGTTACAGCGGCCCAGGACCCGGCATGGGTATAAATGCCAACAGTCAGATGCATGGACAAGGGCCAAGCCAGCCTTGCGGTACCATGCCCCTGGGACGGATGCCATCAGCTGGGATGCAGAGCAGACCATTTCCTGGAAACATGAGCAGTATGACCCCCAATTCTCCTGGCATGTCTCAGCAGGGAGGCCCCGGGATGGGCCCACCCATGCCAACTGTGAACCGTAAGGCACAGGAGGCGGCTGCTGCAGTGATGCAAGCTGCTGCAAACTCTGCTCAGAGCAGGTATGAGTCCAGGTGACAGGAGTTTAAATGAGTACGAATGTTTTCCTTGTCGTTTCTGAAGTAATTTATATGTGTTCTACCTGTGCCCTTGTCTCTGGGAGGAGATGGTGTGTGTGGGAAGAATACTTCTTCCTTAAACACGAGGGGAGAGCATGCTATCGTGTGTATGCTATCGTGTGTATGAGTTATCCTCTCAAAAAGCAGCTGTCACGGTGGAGATAACAGCCACTTCCAGTTTGGTTCTTGGCACTTTAGGCTTTAGGAAAACCCACAGGGTTGGGGTGACATTAGGAGTTGAAAACAAGCCCTCTGCAACTTAAAATTGATTAGCTGGATATATACTGTTTATCTCCGGTAGAGAGAGTGCCAACATGTCCTTGGCGGTTTGCCCTTGCCAGAGAGTAAGGAAGCTTGTGAAGCTGCCCATCAACTCCTGCATTTATTGTTGGGAGCAGCAGTGCTGATGGCAGTTCTCTGCTATGGGATGAGCTTGTTCTAAGGCAGCCGTGCAGAGGGGGAGAGGAGGGCAGGCTGAGGGGAGCAGCTGGAGGGGAAAGGGAGAAGGAGGCATAAAAGTAATCTGTACTTATCTGGAGTTCATAACTGCCAGTTATGCATCTGTAACGGAGAACCTGCAAACAGGATTGTAGAGGTTGGAGCCGTCATATGTCTTCTTGTCTCCCCTTTAGGCGGCATCACTGCATGTTGCCTTTTGTCCATGGATTTTGGCAAAGGCATTTTTCTGTCTGTGGTTATCCTTAAGATGCCTGAATACTTGAAATGAAATCATATTTTCAGGGGAATTTTTCGGATGAATTAATGTCCACATTTCCCTGTACTCAAATAACTGCTGGCACATTTGTTATCTTTCTTTCTGTTACAAGAAGCTCCCCTACGTTTGAGAATTACACAAAGCTCGTTGCACTGTTCTGGTGAGCATGTTTATGATTGTGTGTGTATTAAGCATCTTGCATTTATACGTATATGCGTACACAGATGCACTTATATGCATACAGGTATTTATCATTCAAGTGTTTGAGGACACTAGAGTTGCTCAAATTCTGAGACACAATACAAAACCAGAAGTGTTTTGTATTGTGTCCCCCATATGTGTTGCTTTCTTATTTTGCGAGTTCAGAAGGCAGGTGGCTTCTAGTGATAAGCAATAGACAACTGCTAAAACAATAACAGTAAATTTAGTGCACTTCATGTTCCCGTTCAGTAAAATAGAACCATGCTCCCTTAAAATAGACCATATTCCAGCAGATATCTGTGAACCAGCAGTCTATTGCTTATGTTGGTTGCTTTAACAGACCTGTCTAGTAGGATTTGCAAAAGTCTGCTTCTGTCTGTCTGGTTTAAGCTATAAGCTGATAGGTCAGACTCGAAGGAATAAATGGGCAATTGCTGCAACTGCAGGAACACTTTCTTTATAATTGTGTAATGAGAGGAAAAGCTCACGTTTGTTGGTCTTTACAGCAAGAAAAAGCTTTGTGTTAAGCAAAAAGCACTTGGTTATGATTCAGCTTACACTCTGGGCATAGTGTGTGGTGTTTGATCAAAAATTAGGTTAAATGATTACTGCTCCTATCCTAACCCTTCCTCCCAAGTCAGTTTTGTAAAACTGCTTTTGATTTCTAGCTTTGCCTAAGCAAAAACTGCACTGTTCCAGAGCTTTTCCATCAACATACTGCCCATTCCAATGATCTAGCACCTGTGGAAGGGCTGAGCAGTTGTCGAATTTCTATTGCAGATAGTGGCAAAAGGGCTATTTCTAAACTGCAAATTGAGTGAAACCTGTCGCACCTCTTTGATTCGGGGAGGTTGCAAGCACAGTTTTCCTCTTTGATCTCAAGGCAGCCGTGGGGGCGAAAGCACAATGGCTTTTGGCTGTTCCTGCGAGTCCTCCATACTTCCAAGTATGGAAGGAACATACTTGACAGTGATTCATATTTGTGATACAGAGCAAACCCAAAGAGGCGGGTTTTTTGTTCTGCTTTAGGCCACAGTACATTAGGTCACCTGCTTATCCTAGCCATTCTGGGGCTGGTGGATGCCCCATGTTTTCTTCAGAGCACCCCAACTATGCCAATGCTCATGGTCTCTTGGTGCACCAGCCTGACCGGTACAGGTAGGTAGCAGTGTAAACTGGACTTGCTGTGGAACTTGGGGCAGTTTTTTTTTAATGTTTGTGAACATGCCATCTGGGTGCCGAAGCAATATAAAAATCATGCAAAAGATGCACAAATAATTGCATCGTAGAGGGTATTTTAGTTTTATGTTTTCTTTTTGGTGACAGTACGATGAAAATCTGCATGTCACTCGGGCACACACCTGTATGACTCTTGGCATGGCTCCATTTCCTTGTGCCTGAGAGGGAAATGAAGAACCTCATCACTGAGAAGGAATGAGATCCCTCCTTCCCCTGACCTGGGCGTTATCTTTCTCCCCTCACCGTTGGTGTTCTTGTCTCGCAGTGGTGCTTTGCAACCTCATTTTATTGTCTAGGTGGTGCTATTGTCATTGCTGCCTGAGCAGTGAGCTGCAGCCCCTAAAGTGTGGTCCCTTTCTGAGAGGTGGTGTACTGCAGGAGCAATGACAGGGGTTTTTAATGGGATTTTCAAGAAAGTTTTATTTCATTGTAGTTGAGCGTGCATGTGTTTGAAGAATTTCAGTTAGTCGCTAGAACAACTTCTAGGATCACCAAGTATCCAGTGCAAAACTTTCGCCTGAAATGCAGCTACTCTTTTCTAACTAGAGTCCTTCACTCTCTGATTTCTACAACCATATTGTGAATTACAGCACTGGGAGAAAGTATCTGCATTGGCTCCCAGCCTGTTGCTCCCTCACAAGGAAGTCTGGCTTCAGCTGAGATTCAAGTTTCACAAACTTTCCCTGCCATTGTGTTATTTCAGTTGTTACCTCCACAGGAAATCTGTAATACCCAAATTATTGCTAACTTCATGGTTATTAGTGAGCTTTAATTACTAGTTTTCTGTAGCTGTTTTTGGTTGTTGGGGGTTTTTTTTCCTTAGTAACATCATTCATATATGTGCGTATGAAAAAGTATGAAGTAAACCAGGAAATTCAATCACAAGTCTACTGGTTCTCCTGTTTGAAAAGCAGAAATTAGTGAAATGGAAGAGCACTCACACCATACTATTTCATCTAACTGGAAAGGCATCCACTGTTACGTGCCAAATACTCATGAATAGTATCCAGCCTTTTTCTTTTGAATGTTTTGAGTTTATAAGATTCAGCTCTGGGGTTCAAAAACTGTTGGATTTTTTTTTTTTACTATAAAATGCACCCCTCTATGTAGAATTAAGAAGAAAATGGAATGGTTGTGTCAGAATCATGATTACACAGCAGGATTTCTGTACAAGTTGGTTGTGATCCCCTTCAAGGTCAACTTGTTGAATCAGTAGCCAAGTATCAATAGGGGAGAGAAATTTATCTTCAGCTGTTAATCCACAGGATCTGTCCTTTACCAACTCAGGAGTCTCATTTAGACATAGAAAGCTGGTTTGCCTCTGCCTTGCCAAGCCATGCTAAGCATCTGTGTAAAATGAATTTAAATGGCAAGCATCAGAATAAAATCACTTCCACTGGGGCAGAAAATCAATGTTCGTTAACCAGGGCTGGATGATCGAGATCTGAGTGTCAGCCAGTTATACCTAGGTATCATCCTCAGTGCAGACCACCCCCCTTTTAATTAGTGAAGATACAATCATATAAATAAATGTGATGGCTGTGGAATATATAAGCTTACGCTATTTGAATTAGCCTTTGACCTCACCTTGAGGCCTGCTCTGTGTTAAGCTTAGATTAATTTCTACAGCTGCATAATACCTTCCCTGTAACCTAAAATCTTACAATGTGCTAGTCTGTCTTGTGCACGGAGGCCAGTATTTCCCAAATGGTACCTAGCATGTCGGCCTAAAGAAAAGAAAGGGGTTTTTAAGACCTCTTCATTGAGCCAGCAGTATCTGTGGTTTCACGCTTATTTTTAGGAAGACAGTGTGAAGGAACTGCAGAACAGTGTTTTTCTATCTGACTTGGTCTCAGCTCACCCATAGACTGGTAAGGACTGTATGTTGAAGACCTAATATATTCACTGAACTCCAAGGAAAGACTTTTCATAACTTGGGTGGTTGTTGGCCGAGACCCCAAGGGCTGGTCCTGCTGCTAGAGCTTAGATCCCAGCGGAGGCCTGGGAGGACCAGGTGGCTCCAAAAAAAAAGTCAACTATCACACTCTAGTTCTTAAAACAATACATGTATTTATAGTGATGGATAAGGATTTTTGTGTGTACAGACCTGCATGCAGTAAGCCTTCAGTAAAAGCAAACCATTTTTTGGGCAAATGAGATAGCATTTTCCCTGTTGATGTGGCAGGAAGGTTGGATTAGGTGATCTCTAAGGTCCCTTCCAACGTAGGCCATTATGTGATTCTGTGAAATTTAGCCAGTATCTTCTAGTGCCAGCCAATTTTGAGTTCCTTAGTTTGTAGATGCTCGACTTGAAACTTTTGGGACTATGTGTTCACTGGCTGTGAGCTTTTGTTTCTTCCTGTAAGTGCCCAGCACACACTGTTGAAAATCAATCATTAGGTTGACACCTGAAGTCAACAGGCATTTTTGGAGCTAGATGCTTGTCATCCTCATTTTCAGTGTCTCTAACGCTAGCAGTGAGTCCTATTCTGAGCATGCTGTCTTAGCAGTTGAAAGTCTGACTGTAGTATTCAGAAGAGTAAAAATGTAATTGTAAAAATACCTGGCTTACATGCTGTTAGCAGTGTGGCCTCAGGAAGATGTAATTCAGTACTAGCTGGCTGTAAAATACACATCCAACTGGATGCTAAAATGAGTCCCTTGCTGGTGCAACTACAGTTATCAATCCCTGAACTAATTACTATAAAATGAGATTGGATGTTCCTACATGAGGAGCAGTCCTACCTTTGAAGGCAGAATATGATTCTCGGGATTGCATGTTGCAATT